CATTAAGCCTTTTTGTGAGCCATCTCTGGCTGGGTGCAAACCACCAATCTTTCAGTTAGCAGTTAGCACATTAACCATTTGCACCACTAAACCCATTGCCATCAAATCATTTCTGACTCAAAGGGGCTATATAGGACAAAGCAGAACTGTCCCATAGGGTTCCAGAGGCTGCAACATTTACAGAAGCAGACTTCCATGTTTTTCTCCCATGGAGCTGTTGATAAATTTGAACTGCTGACTTTTTGGTCTACAGCCAAGCACTAAAACCACTGCACCACCAGGGCTCCTTTTACACAACCAGTCACCAATTATTGTCTGACATGTTTTAAGCCAAAACCACAAAGATGTACTCAAAGAGAGACAACAAAATACAACCTTCAAAGAAGAAAGGTATTGTTCACCCAACTGAGAGTAAAAGAACTCTGGCAACACACCCCCAAGGCAGTTTCCTCAGTCCAGGGAAAAGGAAGCTGAGGCCCAAGTTCAAAACAGAGTAGTAACAGGACCATAGTATTAGGGCACACCAGGCTCAATTGGCACAATATAATACATAAAACTCTTGTTCCACAACCTACTTTGGTGAGTAGCAACTGGGGTCTTAAAAGCTTTCGAGTGGCCATTTAAGATGCTGCTAATGGCTCCTCTTGCATGGAGAGAAGAAGAGTGAAGAAAACCAAGGGCATTTGGAAAGAATCAGCCCTAGGATATGATGAACCTCAAGACCAGAAGAACCAGATGCCCAGCTACCAATGCCAACCACTTGGGAAGGGATCAACACTGGAGATCCTGGATAGGGTGGGAGGAAAAATGTGGAACAAAATTCAAAAACACAATAACAACAAGAATTACTGGTTGGCTAGAGTCTGGTGGGACCCCCAAGACCATGACTATGGAATACACTTTGGGCCTTGGACAGGGCTCACTCCTAAGGACTGGCTCTCAGCCCAACAGCAGTAAGACTTACATGCAGAACACCCAACCCAGGATGATGCACCCACCTACTCTATGGAGATACATCCCTTGGAGCAATCGGCCATGGGGCACCAGAGGGGCAGCATTCACATAGAGGGAAAGCTGGACAGACAGGAGTGCATAACTAAGAATGGCACAGTGATGGGGGTGTCACAGGGAAGGGAGAAGAGCAGAGTGGGTTAGGGTTGGAGATGGTAATCAGGGAGTGAAACCAAATGTACACAAACTATTGAATGTAAAACAAATTCTGCTCTATAAATTTGAACCCAGAGCACAATAAAAAAGAAAGGAAGAAAGAAAGAAAAGGAAAAGAAAGAGTAGTAAGCTCAGTTAGACATAGGGTAAGAGAGTGAGAAGAGATTAAAACACAAAACCGATGAAACAAACAAATCAAAAACATGGTTTAAACATTTGATACTGAAAAAAAAATGCAATTTGATAGCAAAAATTAAATTTGGAAATAAAATTACTTGTCTTCATAAAACCCTTAACATGTGATATAAAAATTCACTAGAATGGTGACTTAATTGTTTTTAACTGACACCAGGAACTTCCACTACTTGCCTCAGCTAAAAAGAAAAATCCGAGATTCCACTTTTAATTTTTACAACCCCAAGAGTTTTCTTGGGCCACTATTTTTACTTTGAAAACTGTAGCTACAAGAAACCAACTGTTATTCCACTGAGTTGAAAAAATTGTCTTATTCTGAGTGAAACTGATAGATACCTAACGAAGAGATTTGCTTGTGAATACCTTTGTTCCTAACTTTCAGTTTTGTATTCTGTCGGACAAGTTATTCTCTATCATTCTGTGCAAAGTTGTGCACTATAAAATTATTTATTACTTTATTATTCGAAGCAACACTTTTGATATACTGTCCTTGGGAGAAAAGAATGTGACCTCAAATACTTCATCAGGACTTAATAGTTTCCAAGTACAGGGGGAGTCCCCAACTTAGTATGTATTCAAGTTACAAGGAACCACACTTAACAACTGTCTTCTCTTTTCTTTCTTTTTCCTTTTTTTTTTGGCACATTTTATCATTAGTAATATGTACTACATACATTGTTGGAGTGCATAATTTGCTGATGTTATTCTCAAATGTTCAGTCCCAGATGTTCAAAGATTGGGTTTGTAAAGATACTGACAATACAAAAAAATAAATAAATAAAACTAAAAAAAAAAAAAAAGCATTCAATTCCCATCAGAATTGATTTATAATAGAGTTATAGGAACAGAACCTTATCATAAGTCTGGGACTGCACTGAGAATAGACTCAATGGCAGTGAGTTTGTTTGTTGGTTGGTTGGTTTTTGCATGGGAAAGGGTAGGGAATGTGCCTGTTTTAAAAGGAGAAGAGTGTGTGTCTTAGTTTCGTAATGCTGCTGTGAAACAAATACCACAAGTATGGGCTTCAATGAACAGAAGATCATTTTCTCACAGTTCTGGAGACTAAAAGTCCAAACCAGGTGTTTATTCCTTCTTTGTCTGTAGCCCCCAGTGTTCACTGATTCGTTGGCCATCCTCATGTGGCACCTGTCTTTCTCTGTGTGTACTTGTCTCTGTGTCTAATCTGCTCTTTTTATAACTCAAAGGTGGTCAGCTTTAGCACACACCCTACACTGATATGGTCTCATTAACAAAACAAAGAAAAGCCTATTTCCAAACAGGGCTACCTATATTAGTATAAACCCAAACCCAATACCATAGAGTCAATTCCGACTCATAGCTACCCTAAAGGACAGAGTAGAACTTCCCCACTGGGTTTCCAAGGCTGTACATCTTTACAGAAGCAGACTATCTCATCTCTGTCTAGCAGAGCACTTGGTAGGTTCCAACTGTTGACTTTTTGGTTGACAACCAAATGCTGTAATCACTACGCCACTATACCATACTATTCCTTTCCAAAGGTATAGGGGTTAGGATTCTAACATATATTTTGGGGGGCACACAAATCAATTCATAACAGTGTGCTTGTGGAGAGCTCATGGCAATGGGAGTTTAAAGCATTAACAGGTCACACTGTTCTTAAAGTATGAAAAGTAAGATGAGCTAAAGAGTTCAAAAAAAGTGAGGCAATAAGGAAAAAGCTACTAGATTTCCCAAAATCTGTGCTATTTGATTAGAACATCACAAAGGTGATATTATAGATTGAATTGTGTCCCCCCAAAATATGTGTTGAAATCCTGGCCCTTGTGCATATGATCCTATTTGGAAATATGTTTTTCTTTTGTTACACTAATGTGGTCATTACCAGTGTGAGGTGGTTCCTAAACTTAATCACTTCTGAGTTATAAAAAGACCAGAATAGATACAGAAACACATATAGGAGAAAACAGATGTCATGTGAAATATTCTCTATAAGCCAAGGAACACTCATGAAGAAATGAACACAGCTGAGACCCTGATTTGAACCTTCTGCCTCCATAACTGTAAGAAAATATATTTATGTTTTTTAAAGCCACCCACTTGTGGTATTTTTGTCATAGCAGCACTAGGTAACTAAGGTAGGTTTCTGAGAAGTTCCTGGAAATATGGAGTCCACTTCCCACTTCTGGAAAGAACTATATATTTAGTACCTTTTTTCTTTAATTTTTTGTTTTTGCAGTGTTTCCTCCCCACCCCACCCCTGGTAATCAACAAAGAAAGTTTCCTTCGATATATAAACCTTTCATATTTTTGGTAACTTTTACACAAGGTATCAAAATTTGCATTCTAAGGTACGTAGACATCCTCTCCCTTCTCTCTTTTGCTAGCCCCTTACTTCATTCCTGGCATTTGACTGCTAACCAGAAGGCTGGCAGTTCAAACCCACCAGTCACTCCTCAGAAGGAAGATTGGGCAATCTACTTCCATAGTGATAACGCCTTGGAAACCCAAGGAGGGGTCGCTATGAATCAGATCCGACTCAATGGCAGTCAGTTTGGTTTTTTGGGTTACTTCATTCCTAATTTACGATGACACATATTTCAAATCTGAATTCCTTCAAAAGCTATTTATTTCCACATTTGAGTGCCTATTTACCCTGAAGAGCCAGTGGTTTTACTGTTAATAATAGGAGTTACTGAAGACGTTCATGAAAATGATATAACCATTTAAGCCATGAAGGTAATGTTTTAGGAAAAAAATATTGAGGTCAAGATAAAAAATACAATGATTATATCCCACCCCACCTGCTTAAGCAGGCACAAGCTTGTTTATCAACACAAGCGGAAGACTATAAAATAAACCCAGACCCCATTTCCTCACCACCATTTATAACAGTACAATTAGGGCTAAGGCAGAGGAGACTGATGGAATGTATGATTTCTACTCATCTGGCCCATTACAAATAAACAGCTCAGCATTACGAAAGAGAGTTTATAAATTACACAGTCCCAGTCATTTTGGTGTGACATTCACAAGCATCCAGTTATCAAAAAAGGTGAACCAAAGTTATGTTCTCTAATTCAAAATTGGCCTGTTAAGTCCAAAAAATATACTTATCTGAATAGCCCCAAAACTCAAGTAAATTCTCTTGAATATCGCTTTCCTTGTTAGCATTAAGTTCATCTCTAATATTGAGAGTATAGGCCAGGAGAAGCAAGAGAGAGTCTTAATACTATTTTAAGAAAGTTTAACAGCCCACCACTTTATTTGTTTTGGGAGTAGGGAAGAGGTAGGGAGTAGTCAATGCTTGTTTGTACTCACCACCCGGCTCAACTGTGCTACGGGCTTGTTAAAAACTTATGCCACAGAGGAAAAGGCACCTTAGCAGGGCCAGCCTGCTAAACTGTATGCCTTTTCATAAAGCAGAGGAATTGGGGTTAACCACATTACAACCCCTCCCATCTGAGGTAAAGGCCTGTTTGTTCCGGAAGGCAAAGCCCAGTTTTCTTTAACTAACTCAGTGTAATGCAAGCAGTTAAAATAAGCATTCACAAGCCAGCAAGAAAAGAGCTACTCTAGAACTGTAAAGCCATCACGTTTGTGAGGATTTCTCCAGAGTCCAATATCTTGAAAGATGCAGTCCAGGCGCCTCATCTGACTGTTAACCTGAAAACACCTGATCCTCTCTCAGGGTTCCTACACTGGGAAAAGCGATAAGGCTCCCAGGCCATGCCTTCACCTTCAAAACTTTTCACCGCCCTCACGGATTCGGAGTATGAAAATGATTCGCCGGACATGCAGCCCGGAAGGTCTCCCCAGAAGCTGAAATCCCTCTGGGTGCTGGCTCCCATTCTCTCAGCCCTCCCTCTCTTACCCTTACTGCAGCCGGCCGCTGGGCGCAGACCCACGACCCAGGGCAGGCACGGCCGGTCGCCGGTGAGGCCCGCACTGCTCCGACGGCGTCGTGGCGGGGCTCAAAGGCCTTCTGTACGCGCCCCGCGAGGTACAGCGCGTGGCCAGGCGTCCCCGGCCCGCCTCCGAGTCACCACCTCCCACCACTATATTTGTCTTTCCCGCCAGGGCTGGCGGGGCTGGAGAACCGCAACCGCGTGTTTCTCATCTTGGTGCCCTGGGGAACTTTTTCCACGTGTCAGGGAGCCAGCCTCAGAACTCCCGGAGGCTGGAGGGAACATAGCACCTGGGATAAAGCCCAGGTTCGGGGGCGGCGAGAAGACCAGGAAAAGACTGTAGCCAGAGGTCTGCGCGGCGACCGGGCGCAGGGGAGGGCGGGGTGGGGTGGAGGTGCTCGCGCTGTAGTACTGACCTGTGGCCGGGCCCCCGGGTCAGGCCAGAGGCACAGTTCCACACCTGCAAGTCCAGCGCCTCCACGCTGTGCCGCATAGTGCGGCCCGGTGGCGTCAGTAGGAGACTGAGGGCAGGACGATTACACCTGCCTTGGTCGCGGGTACTGGTTCGCGGCTCCTGCGCTCACGTCCCCAGCGTACAGCACTGTAACCCAGCCCTCTCGAGCTCCTCGGTGTCTGCCGGGACCTATGTCCGGGAAGAAGAGCCTTATAAAGGGAACTGAGCCGTGGAGCGCGAGTAGGAGGTGGCCCGCTCACCCTCCACACCGCCCCTCGGCGGCCAGGCTGCTTACTCTCTGCCCTCCGCTACTCCTGCCTTTCTTCATTTCGTTGTTTATTTCTCCGTTCTTTCCTTTATCACTTTATGCTTTGCTACATTGTTTTCTACATCCATTCTTCTGTCCAGTTCTTTAATCATTTCATATCAACATATGCATATGTTGATGCATTCAGCAAACATTCAGTGAGCTCCAGACAGACGGCTGGATTCTGTGGACACCACGATGAGAAAGACACATAAAACTGTCAGACAAGTTATTCATGTCGGCGAGTCTTTTATTCTGGAGGGCATGATCACAGAATTCTGTGACAAGGGTCATGGCTCGGAGACACAAGAAAAACTTATCACCTGTCACTCTAACCGCCCGGGCAGTGGCCAGGAGGAGATGGTGCAGAGAGGAGGGGCGGGAAATCGGTAAGTTACACTCACCCCAGCTTCTACCGCAGCTGCTCAGCCCTTCTGGCACTGGAAGGGAAGACTCCTGTGGGAAACAGGACACGAGCATACATAGCACGCCGTTCATAAATCTTGTTGATAATGGTCGCAGGCACGTGCCCAATTGCTGTGTTGGACTGAGGGTGGTGTTGACGTGGCAGTATGGGCATGGCCGACTGCCTCCTGCATAAAAAGTTATATCCCTATTCTTCAGCTGGTGAACAGCAGCAGAGAAAATCCCAAGTCCCAGATTGTTTTGATCTCCAAGTCTCTGGTTTTAGCTAGGTTTCTCTGGTTTAGCTAATTCTGCCAGAGAATTATTTTAATATGCGTCTCCAGACAGAAGTGGTTGGATGGAAGGATGTATACTGGCCCTTTTTGAAAGTCAATAGCCAATGGTCTATCAGGTAAAAATCCCTTATTTAGAGTCCTTTTCATCAGAGAAGGAACTCTAGTGGCATAGTGGTTAATGCATTAGGATTCTAGCCAAAAACTTGGTGGTTCTGAACCCACCAGCCACTGGGAGGGAGAAAGATGAGGCAATCTACTTCCTTAAAGCTTTGGAACCTCATGGGACATTTTCACTCTGACCTTTAGGGTTGCTATAAGTCAGAATCCACTCTATGGAAGTAGGTTTAGTTTGTTTTTTTTTTTCATCAGAGGAGTCCTGGAGTGATGCAAACAGTTCACATTGGACTAGTAACCAAAAAGTTGGTTTGTCAAATCCACCCAGAAGAAAAGGCTGGCAATATATTTCGATAAGATTAAAATCAGTTGCCATCTAGTCATTTCCAACTCTACAGCCATTGAAAACTCTATGGAGTACAGTTTTACTCCAACATACACAAGGTTGTCATGAGTCTGAATCAACTTTACAGTGGTGCCCACAGACATGAGTCTGAATCAACTTTACAGTGGTGCCCACAGACAGGCTTAGAAAAGCCTGTTTGGGTAGTTACAGTCACCACAGGTAGGTGAAGTAGTGGTGTGGTTAGGTTCCTTTTTAGAAGAAAAGGAAAGGAAACATTACAGAGCTATTCTTGAGGGAAGGATGTGGATTCAGGTAAAAGAAGAGAATATCAAAGGCATCTTTTTCTTTTTTTTAATTGTGATTAGGGTGAAAGTTTACAGAGCACTTCCGTTTTCCATTCAACAGTTCATACACAGTTTGTTTCATTACATTGATTGCAATCTCCACAATGTAACAGCTCTCTTCCCACTTCCTCCCTGATTACCCTTTTCCTGTGTCCTTCTTTCTTACAGATTCCTGCCCTCTATTGAAGTTATCTTGTAAATGTAATTTTGATGCTGAAGGACTTTTTAAGCCTTTTAAATTCAAAGAAAAGCTACCACGAAGGGATGAACACCTATTAGCTCCAAAATACTATTCCTTCATGTCACTAAGGAGCACTGGTGCCGTAGTGCCTAAGGCACTTGACTGCTAACCAGAAGTCTGGCGGTTCAAAGCCACCAGCCACCCCTCCAAAGGAAGGTTGGGGGATCTACTTCCATAGACACACCACCTCAGAAAACCAAGGAAGGGTTGCTATGAGTCAGGTCTGACTAGATGGCAATGAGTTTGGTTTTTTCGTTTTTATGTTACTAAGGGCAGTAACCTCTTTAGAAAGGGATTGCAAATGAAAAAAAAAAGATTCTTTGTGTCAGCGTTGTTGTTGTTGTTAGCTGCCGTCAAGTCGTTTTCAACTCATAGTGATCCCATGCACAGCAGAATGAAATACTGCCTGATCCTGCACCAGCTCCATGATCCCTGCTGTACTTGAGCCCATCGTCACAGCCACCCTGTTAATCCATCTCGTTGAAGGTCTTACCCTCTTTCCAAGCATGACATCCTTCTCCAGGGAATGGTCCCTTCTGACAACATGACCAAAGTAGGTGAGA